TTTCCTCCGTTGCAATGACATCAAATTTAATGCCTCAAGTCTCTGCCGGTATTTTTCGGAAAAAATTCCCATATTTTCGTTTCCAAAACATTTAGGTGACCACCGGAATTATGTCGAACATAAATATTTCTCCGAAGGTAAGAGCAATAATATTAATATGTCAAACTCTTATAATGTGACAAATTCGTCTGAGGTGCGATTTCTCATTTCTGTCAAATGACAATTTATCGGTTCTTTGATTTTTGAACACTTAATGCGATTGCATTAAAATGGATAGTTTAAATAAAATAGTTAAAAACATGTTGCTTATACCCACTTCAAAAACTCTTACTGAAATACAGAAAAATTGATAACAAATTAAACATTTTTTACAGAAAAAATAAAATATATCTTACAATTTGTTGAGCAATTTAGTTGTTCATCGGACTAAATGTAAATGCCTGTAAATGCCTTGATACCTTGTATCTATTTTTCCCACATTATCGAACGTCTGGTCTTGTTGTCACTCTTAAACGTTATTCCCGTTAACTATTCTGTCACTGTTTTCCCAGCAATCATCCCACGCTTGCTCTTGGAGTCACTTCTTAAACTTCTTGCTCTTATACTTGCAACCGTTTCTCATGTTAAATTTTTAGTCATTTTTCATCTAGGTGATGAAGGTGTTTAAAATGAACATGAAATATTGTGCTCGTGTACCGTGCATATGAAACTGACACAAGTATAAGTATACCACCAACAAAGCGCGAAATTGTAAGCCCCACAGGTCCTATTTCTGAATGGCAAACTTACTGAATACTTTAGTAGAACAAACCCAGGTTGCTACATTTCTTTCAGCGAATAGAATACATTTGCTTTAATTTCTAAGCAAGCCCTAATGATATGCTTCATACCATCTTATCTGACATGGTATTGAAAAAGGATCATTACGGAAGAATTTTATATTCGTTCAATAACAACCATAACAATTAACAACGGTCAAAAATTGTTCGTTCAATATTTCCTAAATCTTGTCTTCCCTGACGTTGTTGCTGCAATTTCAACTTTAATGATATTGAAACTATTTAGATATTTGAAATAAGGAATGACATAACCACGATAACGATCAAACCGTAGCTGGTTGTCTGTCTATTTGAGACAGGTGCTCTGCTATGTCTAGCGACTGTGTGACATTCTATATGTGACACTATACTTATGTCTAAGAGTACCCGTCTAGACATTGAAACCTGCAAACCTGCAAACCTGCAAGCATTTGTTAAAGGCTGCGTGATTTTTAAAGAGCGTTATTTCACTCAGCTTGCCAGTTTTTTCAGATATACACCTGTGGCTTTATGTTCGTTAATTTCTGGCCCTTTGAGATTAATGGGACTATGCACACGAGGATTTAAAAGATTGAAGTGTTCATTTTCCAACATGAACAACAGCAGCGGACTGGTACGGAATGTCACGGAATGGCATTCCGCTGATTATATTGATACCTCTGGAACCCGTACATTAGCTCAGACATTATCAAAGAAATGGTATTTTTCTCTCTTTCTCTGTCATTTCAGTGATTGCTTTTTGTGATCGGTACTGCGCGGCTAATATTAATATACCTTTATGATATGTACCATTTTATCATTTCTTTGTTTTGAGTGAAGGATGTTTGGGCGTACAATGATTATGCAATATGCAATGGACACGTCATTATGTATGCTTTCTATTTTTACAGAAATCTTTGATATTTCCGTATCGATGCGCTTCTGTGACTGTTTGAACGCTTTGATGCATTACATTTTAGGAATAGACTGTCAAATTAGAACTGTTAAATTGTGTTAGTAATCTTCTAATTATAACTTTGATATTTTGCAAACCCACCAAGGTACTATTTAACTTGCTTGTAATATAATTTCGTTGCTCTCTCTGTTTTTATTAGGAAAAAACATAATACAAATTATGTTGGTAATCTTCTAAGCCCAGAAATTATAACTTTCATATTTTGCAAACCCACCAAGGTACTATTTAACTTACTGGTATTATCATTTCTCTCTCGTTTAAATATTGTATTGTATCAGATGCCATCGTGGAGTAGGTCTCCTGCACCTTTTCCCCCTCGACATAATAGAAAAAACCTAGACATGCAGTTTCATAGGCTCTGTTTTTGTTAGTAATTGTAATTTTTGCTTAAATTTTACTCTCAATTAACTATCGCTTTGTTATTTTATTAAACATTTTTGGCTATTATATTACCCGAAAGAATATTTTCCATCTTCTTCGGCTACTTTTATAATTCTAAAATAACACTTACTGTGTCGTAACAAGAAACAGAGTCCATCTTTTGTATTAATTGTAAATGTCTATTCTAATAATATACTACTACTACTACTACTACTTTAATAATAAAACTTTAAAAAACCCTGTCCACCCAGCTCATCAAGATGTCAATGACTCCAGAACAGCTGCTATTTGTTGGACTACTCTCTCTAGCGTGCTGCTTGGTCGGATCCACAGCTAACCTGCTCTCTCTCAGCTACTTCCTGTTTGGGAACCAGAACAAATGCCACATCAGCAACATCCTCTTCAAGCTCATCAACATCACCGACCTCATCATCTGCCTGGCTGTGCTACCGGTGGCGGTCTCTGCCATCTCGTACGGGAGCCCGCACTTCTTCGGGGCGGATATTCTGTGTAACATGTGGGTATTTGTGTGGTACACGGTGTCCCGGTACTCTCTCTTCCTGATAGCTGTGTTGAGTGTAGCCCGGACCAACTCCCTCCTCTACCCTCTCTTCCCTCAACAGAAGGCCTGGTATCTTGCTCCTTGTGGAATCTACCTGTTTGTCCTGCTGGTTCAGGAGACCTTCCCGTACTGGTATGGAGAAGCTGCCCACTACTGGCCTCAGATAGTGTCCTGTGGGTGGTTCCTGGAGGAGATCCTGGATGTGAACAGTGTGCAGTACCATGTCGCTCACATGGTGTTTGTAGTGATCGAGACTGTTGTCCCCATTCTGGTCATTACCGTCTCCTCAATCCTGTCCTGGTCCTTCCTCTGCCTCATCAACAGGAGGCGTAACACTGTCTTCCGTGCCAACTCCAACGAGAACTCCAAAGCAAGCACATCAGTGTGCAACATATCCCTCCGACAGTTCAGTGTCAACAAGAGTTCCTCGGTAGACCAACGGCAGTCGTCTCAATGTAGTGACGGGTTAAAAGCTGCTGACACAGTATCCAGATCTGCCTCCTTCACCATCCTCATAATCGGAGGAGTATGCCTAGTGCTGAACATTCCGTTCGGACTGGTAATAGTGTTGAGTAGTGTGGAACAGTTTACTGATTGCTATCTGATATGTCTGCAGCGTATGGTTTCCCACCAGAACTTCCTGCTGCTCATGTTCCTCATACACACAGGTGCTATTGAGCTGAACTCTGTCATTAACCCGCTGCTTTACATCTGCAGGATGAACAGACTCAGGAGCTTCATACTAGGGCTGTTGAAATTTAAACGAGTTTCATTTTCTTGATACAAACCAGTGTTACAATGGTGTTACTATGGTAACCAGTGTTACAATAGTATCCAGGGGATCCTTATTCAGACTAGATTTGAAGAGCTACACACATGATACATGCTACACGAAGAGGTCTCCTCCTAGTCGTTGGAGTGGCCTGCATCACACACACATCTCTTTGATACGGTGATTCATCTTCCTCCATTCCACTCGTTTTAGAGCTAACTGTTTTACTGCGTCTCTGCTGATGTTATCGACACCTGTAAAGTCAGCCGCATCCTGGTCCTTGTGGGGGTCATCCTCCCAGTCTCTTTCTGGTTTCCAATCCAGTAAAAATTGGAAAACCGTGTCTCTGGCATTCTGACAACGTGTCCGTACCTCCTTAGTCTAGCCGAACCGATGAAAGTTTCAATAGACTTAATTCCAGCACGCCTGAAGACTTCTTTATTGGAGACATGGAAGAACCACTTTATCTTCAAGATTCTTCTCAGCGAGGTCAGATGGAAGACCTCGAACCGTTTCATCTGCTTCTTTGTGTTCCAGACTTCAGCTCCATATAACAGAATAGTAATAACAGCAGCCTTGTAGATACATGCTCAATACATGAGCGGTTCCGTCTGAACCCACACTGATTTTCCCTAAGAAGACACTCCATTCCAACATCCAGCCTCTTAAGAAGAACCATTTGAAGAACATCAGAAGACGTTGCCCTATTTAAAGAGCTGTAGATTCTCTTCAGTGGTGACCAGATATAATACCTTAATGTTGAGGTTAAGATTCCTCAGCAGCTTAGACCCTAGCTAGACACAACGTTGGTAGTGAGTGAGAGGGAAAGAACGAAAGACATATCAGTTAAGGAATACTGAGCAGACAATTTAGTGATTGAAAGTGACTATGGAATATCCGTGATTATATTATTAATATGCTGTAAAAACTTGCAGATTTTACACACTATGATTTTGAGCGAGTACTTATTATTAACTCGATTTTAATGTTAACACTGTCAGATATTATTATTTTAAATGTCCGCTTTTTTGTTAAACCATTAAAATCTAATTTGAATTGTTGTCATTGCTACGAAAATTTCAATCATTTAACCAACAAATGCCTGATTTATCCAGAATCCATCATACTGCAGCAGATACTTACCTTAAATGTAACCCAAATGATCAACTATTTACTAGTACCCAAAACTTGTCCCTGCAGGAAGAGGTAGAATGTAGGATTTTATTCTATATATATATTGTGTTGTTAGGCTTCATATTACACTGCACTATTAAATCCATATTTCACGTTATCAGGACTGGAAATAGTATAATAATCATATTGCACTTAAGTCTCACTGTATAACGCTAATGTACACTTAGGGTGGGCAATGATTGAACCTATAAATAGGTTTAGACTTTAGGGGAATGTAGTGTAAGGGAGTTTAAGTTAGATAACTCATTATAACTCATTTAACTCATTATAACTCATTACTGAACTCCTTAGAAAGAATACTAACATCCTTGCAACCAGGTATCAGACGGCTGCAGCTCATCCTCATGAAGATTGCACTTGTTCTGGGGGTGAAGGTTTTCACCAACACTTCCTTCGTGGAGTTCCTCGAACCGTGCAATACTACGGGCTGGCGTATCAGCGTCAAACCCAGCAATACCGAAATCGAGATGACGGATTTTGATGTAAGTACACGCCGGAACTATTTCTGGATATCATGTTGCAGAATATGAGAATATTTAACAATCTGTCTGTCTGTAGGTTAATTGATAATTCAGTCTACAAGACGTATTGTCACGTACTATAACAAAATAATACACGAGTACCCGACTCTCGAAGATGCGTGACCCGTCCGACAATATATTATATTGTACTGATCCTTAGCATTGAGGATATTATATGTACTGGCATTCATGAGAATGTTCGTAATCAAATTTTAGGCCACATGTAGCTCCGTGATAAAGTGTCACGTGAGGTAAAATGGCGGCAAGTCAGTGACGTTTATGTAACGCGCGGCGCAAATTCTGTGTAAAAAAACCTGACGGTGTCAATCACATTCATGAACGCATGGAATTACAGAAAAATCGGCACTGAATACCACGCGTTGTAGTATTGTGAAGTCTCGAGTGATTAGATGGGTATGCACTATGCATGATAATAAGCGATTAACTTAACGGCTGGCTTTGTCTTGTTGAGGAGTGTTAACGATTAACCCATTAGGGACGATAGGGTCGTTTTTATGACCCACCTTTTCTAGACGAAAAACCAAATAGAAAAGGTGGGTCATAAAAACGACCCTATCGTCCCTAATGGGTTAACAGTAGACTGACATGAGGAGACAAGTTTAGGATCAGTGTTGATGTGATCATCCCAGTCGATTGGAGAAAGCTATGTAATCAGTGGCAGTGTTACTGCCAACCACCTGTTAGGGGAAGCTGCTTTTGAAAAGAATGTTTCTACAAAGTTTGTACGAAAAGTGTTCTCTCACCAAATTGATTTAATTACAATCCTGCGAAAATTATTTCCAAATAAATGATACTCAGAGTAATAGATGGTGATTACCAACTAAAAGTACTAAGAAAGTAACCACATGCACTTTTATGTACCATCTTTTGAAGAGGTTCAGTTTCTAGGATATTACCACAGTATTTTAAATTATAAGGGGAAGTGTGACCACTATACTGTCCGTTCTACCTCATGGTATTGTGTTATGCTGGTGATATTTTGTCAATTAGATAACTGTTATATCATTAAGGGAGGGGGGGTTCACCCTGATTTTTTTGTGAAATTTGATTTGGAGATAGAAATTGACCAACAAACTAGGGTGACCGAACTTTTGAGGGGGTTCCGGACTCCGGGTGCCCACCGGACAGCCACGCCCATCAGTGGCGTAACTTTGCCTTTTGGCGCTCCCCCGCTCAGTGACGAAAAGCGCCCCCCTTAAATTTTTTGTGACCCTAAAAAAAATTTAAAAAAAAAAAAAGGTCGGGTACTTTTTTTCTCGCCCCCCTGGCCCTACAGCTTTTTGCGCCCCCTGAAGCAAAAAAGGGTACCCCAAAAATTTTTTTCGCGTCGACCGAACGCTAAATTGGGCAGGGAAATACACAAACAAGGCGTTTTTTCAGTGAAAGGGCCTAAAATTCAGGAAAATTGCGCCCCCCTTATACGGCGCGCCCCCCCCCCCCCCCCCCGCAGCGGGGTCTGCGGGGCCCTAAGTTACGCCACTGACGCCTATTTTTGGTCCCAATTATGCCAAATCACCTTAACATGCTCAAAACCCAGATTTTAGGCGGTGACCGACAACTAAGAACCGCTCATTCAGGCTCCCGCAGGTATCACATCACATGGCCCAATCAGTGACGTGTCATTTGTGATGTGATCCATATTCTAGCCATCCTAACAGCCGGACAATCAAGAACCTGGATAGGGTTCACATGACAGTTTAGTAAGTAGCTGTGAATTATGAAGTATAATATTAAGAAGTGTTCGACCTCTCTGCATGTGTTCACATGACGGACGTGATCCAGGTTCGAAAGGGGCCGGTTCTCGACGAGAACCGTTCTCGTATCAGCCACTGCGATACCTTATTCACCGTGATTGGATCTGCTTATTGATTATTCGACTGCTTTTGGACGGTTACAGTTGGGTTAGCTAGTTAGAATACGATGTCGGCTCCCTATTATTACTTTATTAATGATTTGGTTTAATTATACTCATACATGGTTTGTTATAGCTGTGGTCAGTTTACTACCCCCCTCATCAGATGAACATTTCACGTGTGGCAGTGCAATTGTTTCATATTCTAGCTCAAACTTAGCTCTCCTTCAAAGCTTATCGGTTTTCAAGAAAACAACAATTTCAAAGTTTGGCACCGGTCTAGTCTCTTAATAAGTTTCACGTCTTTGTGTTTTCAGTCTCGATGTTCCCTCATCGCATCATGACTAATTGCACGGAGTACTATAGTGCTACTGGGGAGGAGTTTGTTGACATACCACCACTATTGTGCACCAAAGAAATATATCCATTATATTGGTTCCGATGTAATGAGGGACAGTCTAAACTTCAAAAGTTTGAGAGCTGGAAGATTAAACAATTGAGACATTCAGGGCAAATGAACGAGCGAGGACTATTGTAATGCAGCTGTTACGTACCTACTCAAAAACGGCTGAATCCCCGCCTAGAAAGAAAACTCATCTCACAGTTTTCTTAGTTATAAATTACTTCGACTTGGCGATTCAAATTTGTTTACTCCTATCTTCCTATCAACTTAATCCTCTCAAGCAATGAAACATTTCTGCGCATCTGTAGTTTTGCTAACACTTTTAGTGTTTTTTAACCTTCCTTAATCAGTTGCGTAACGTTGCCTGTCGGATGGTACAACGCAGTAGAGCCACGGCGTCCGGATCTGCACAGCACATGAAATGTTTAAAGTATCTCCAGAGGTTCTTAGTTGTCGGGGATATGTAATGATTGGTTCTTAGTTGTCGGAGCTGATTGCATTTCCCAAGCTAGCATTTTAATGAGTTAACTAGGTAAGATTGACAGGTTCTTAGTTGTCCGTCAGCCATTTTAGGTGCTCTACTTGTAGCTAGTGATCTACTGAACTTGTATATGAATTTTAATCAAGATTGGAAAAAAATGCCTGAGTTATGAGCCAAAAACCATATGCCCATATTCGGGCATACGCAAAATTTGATCGATTTTGGCCCATAAATAAATGGCGAACCGTCCATTGTCCCGGTTCTAAACTGGGACCTTCAACTCGAAGGTAATTTATTAATAGACTAGAAAACCCGTGGTCACAGGGAGGAAGCTAATAGTATTCTTTGGAATTCAGTTTTAATCGTGTCAAAAAGTATTCATCCCCACCGAAGATACAGCCAAATAAAATGTTGCTCGTACTAAACACAGCGTAATATCAACAAAACCGATTAAAATGACGTTAAAACAATCATTGCACGTGCATGTGCGCGTTTCAACCGTCGTTACTATGGTTACTATGCAACTACCTATTTCTTATCTATTTGCACGTGGGCGGTCGTACAAACGTACAAAGGGAATTCTCTGAATTATAGTAGAGACTAGAAAACCCGTAGTCACAGGGGGGAAGCTAATAGTATTCTTTGATAGTCAGTTTTTATCGTATCAAAAAATATCCATCACAACCGAAGGTACAACCGATTTAAATGATGCTCGCACTAAACACAACGTAATATCAACAAAACCGATGAAAAATGCCGTTCCCCAATCTTTGCACGTGCACATTCGTGTAACAACCCCAGTTACTATGGTAACTACGCAACTTCCCATTTCTTGTCTAATTTGCGCGTGGGCGGTCGTACAAACGTACATTGTACAAAGGGAATTCTCTGAATTATAATATAGACTAGAAAACCCGTGGTCACAGGGAGGAACCTAATAGAGTAATAGAGTAATAGTATTCTTTGGCAGTCAGTTTTAATCGTGTCAAAAAGTATTCATCCCCACCGAAGATACAGCCGATTAAAATGTTGCTCGCACAAAACTGAAGCACAACGTAATATCAACAAAACCGATAAAAATGCCGTTCGCCAATCTTTGCACGTGCGTGTATTAACCCTCGTTAGATTGGGCGACATCTGTCCGACAGCGACATCTGTCCGAAAGCTGAATTAGGGATTTCGGACAGATGTCGCTGTCGGACAGGAGTCGTTTTTGGCGACATCTGTCCGAAATTTGGATCATATTGTAATTTCGGTTCACATTCGTATTTCACAAGCTCACAGGTAATCTCGTGACGTTCTAAAGCTGATGTGATCGCTTAAGATCTGATCCATCGATACGTGATTGACTAGTTGAGAACAGGATCGTGCTAGCCGTACCCTAACAAGCTGTCGATCACATCACAGGACATGAGTACATATAGGACAGCAGTATGGAGATCACTTATCGCAATCCACAATGGCAACCAATTTTCAGTTTATCCCTGGACGCAAACAAGGCTCGGACAACCCTGTCCTAAATGGCTTCAGATACGTCTTCGACAAGCGAAGAGACGACACGTCCTATTGGAAATGTTCGGATTTCCGAAAGGGTTGCAGAGCCCGCACCTTCAAATCCGCACCTAATCTCTTCCATCAGCTCTTCACAGTCCATGGCCTCTTCACTGACGGCTGGCACCTCCCCCTCTTCTATGGACTCCTTCCTGGAAAAACGACGACCCTCTACCGCAACCTGTTCGAGGAGATAGACACCTGGGCTTCTGGGGGCTACCAACCACAATCCATCCTCATGGACTACGAGCTCGCCATTCACAACGCAGTTGCTTCCGTGTGGCCCTCCACTACCAGACGAGGATGTAACTTCCACTACAAGAAAGCCCTCCTGAATCATGTTAAGCAGACCAACATCTGGGAGGAGTACCTGACTCCAAACTCTCCTGTTCGGGATTTCTTCGCGATGACTGGAGCGATTGCCTACGTACCGGAGACTGACGTCCCTCGAATCTGGAGACACCTGAAGCCCCTCCTTCCTATAGACATGGCTGAGATTGCTTCATACTACGAAAACACTTGGATCGGGATTCGGGACATCAACCACCAATCCTAACTTCGCTCCCCACATGTGGAATCAACACGAAGCTGCACAGATGAGGATTCCTCGCTCATCCAACATCGCAGAAGGTTGGCATCACGGATTCCATTCA